TTTCCGTGAAAATGTGAAAATTGACGGAAAACAGAAACCGCCGCCCAATATAGGCGCACATGTTGTCGGCATTTGGGTCTACCATTTACCGCATGGACAGGGCTTCAAGGGGGTACGGTTTTCAAATGGATACGGTTTAGTCATTCTCTATTTTTTTGCAAATAACATATTGAGATATTCATTCACAGTCTGTAAGTTTAATAAGTTGATTATCGGTATTTTAAAAACTAACAATGTCAAGAGTTATTATTTGTTCGTTACTACTAATATGTAAGTTAAAAACAATTGTATAAATACTATTCTAACAAAAGTAATAAATTATTACTGATAATTTGCCTTACAATATTTAATTAATTTTTAATAACAATTTTGTTGATAGGCTTAACAATATATGCAAACGCAGTAAGTAATAAAGATTAATGTCTATACAATATTATAAACATGCTCAATTTTGAAATAATTTGTAGAATACCTCTGAAAGCCAAATACGACAAACCCTTCACCCGGAAATTGAGTCCGCCATCAATAATATTACTAACAGTGAATTCATGGCTTATTACTTCTATGAACAGCTGGTAAGGCTACTAATTAAATACAAGTTGCCATTAGACTCAAACATACATTTATATTAATTAATTAATTAATTAGATAACTAAAATAATTAATGTCATATAAATCACAATATCATAATCATCAAATAGGCATGGTACTTCAACCGCGACAGCGTAGCGTTGCCAGGTTTTCACGAGTTTTTTAAAAGAAGTGCTGACGATTTGATGAAGGTTGCTAGAAAGTTCATGGAGTACCAGAACAAACGTGGTGGTCGTGTCATATTGCGCGACATTGAGGCGCATCCAATACGTCCCGGCTGGACACCCCTGGAGGCCATTACAAGGTCTATATTCGTGGAACAGACAGTCAATCAACACCTACTGAAACAGAACGCATTGGCCGATAGTATCAAGGATTCTCATTTTAGCAACTTTTTGTCCAACTTTATAAATGAAGAGGTTATCGTTCTTAAGGAGTTGGCTGATCACATGACCCAATTGCAACGAGCTGGCCCAGGAATTGGCGAATATC